CTGTCTAGTTGGTTAAAAATTAATGGGAGAAAGTGTGAATGTAAAAGCACCCAAAGAAAAGAGACCTTGCTGGCAGGTGGGGTGCAGGGTTCCCAGCAGAAAGGAGGGATAAAAGATGAGCAGGCTTGAGCTGTGCAGGAATGTACGGTAGAGTAAAACAGGACGCATGCCACCATCTGAGGGAAGTGCTCAGGACAGACATCATAAAGCAGAGGTTAACATACTCTTTCATGTAGAGAACAATTACGAATCACGGAAATTAAACCATTCCAACAGAATAACGAACAAATAACCTTGATTAACAAAAACTCATAGATGTGCCTGGCATGGTGACTGCACAATGATAGTGTGTGCACTCAGGAGGCGGAGGTTGAAGGGTCACTGTGAATGCGAGGCCGGCCTAGGCTACGTAGCAAGATACTGTCTCAAAGAAACCAAAAAAGAAAAGAAAAAAATTCATACTTTTTTTTTTTCTTTAAAAGAAAGTAATTGACTAATATGGAAGAGGAAACTCTCAATTCATTTTATTTATTTATTTTTATATTTTAGGGAAGAGTCTACAGGGTGTTCAGGGTCTCACTACTAAATAGGACTCATACGATCCACCTGTTTATAGGCTCCCAAGAGCTGGGATTACAGGCACACGCCACCACGCCCAGTCTCAGTTGCCATCTCGGCACACCCTGGGGGCGGGGCTGGCACTGCAGGCCCAGGGTTTGAACTCCTGGCCCCTGCACCTGCTTGCATCAATTCATTTTAGATGAGACTTAAAAGTTGAGTTTCTTTAATTTGGTAGAATGCTAAATTTTTTGTCAACCCCAGTGTTGGAGAGAGTATGGTAAATGGATACTTAACATGTTTGAGGGAGCTGGGGAGATGGCTCAGTAGAATAAGTGCTTGCTTGGCAAGTGCAAGGGTCTGAGTTCAATCCCTGATTCTGGAAAAAAAAAATCATATTTGAGTATATTGAAGCTAAATGAATTTTGTTGTTCTTTGAGATAGGTTCTTGCTGTGTAGCTCAAGCTGCTGTTGAACTGGTGGCACTCCTCCTGGCTCAGTCTCCCAAGTGCTGGGAGTACAGTTATGTACCACAGGCCTGGCTTAAAATTACATTATTAGAGAATGTTCACCTTATAGTAAATTTTAAAGTAAGAGTGACCTTGTTTTTCTTTTTAACACTTACATATGCACAAGAAAAAATTAAATAAATGAATACCAGAAATGTAGGAATATTACTGAGTGATGGATTTCAGTGTGATTTTTGTTAAAGTATAGTGGCATTTGTCAATGGGTGTGACAAAGGGTGATAGGAGGGGTAGTATTTTAAGTAAAATGGTTCTCAAATTATTTTCAGGTTACTAACTTACCTGTTAATATAATCTGTAATTTTCATTCATTCAAAAACAAACAAACCAGGAAACTGCCTCAGGCATTAGCCTTAGTCATAAAGCAGCCAGAACTGGCTCATTGTACGTTCAACAGTGGCTATGGCATTCAGTCCACTTTATTTTTTTAATTAATTAATTATTTATTTGTGTGTGTGTGGGGCCAGCTCAGTCCACCAGGGGGCGGGGCTGGCTGGCATGTGGTGCTGGGGGATTGAACCACGGTCCCTGTGTTTTGCTAAGCTTGTTCCAAGTAGGTGCTCTAGACCACTGAGCCATCTCCCCAGCCCCCAGTCCACTTTAAATAACTTAAAATATTGTCCTTTTTCTTCATGATGCTTCTTCTTTTCTAGACTCCCCAAATTAAATTGATATCTGGATGGTCTTATACAATTATTCCTTTTAATGTACTTTCAATGTATTTTCCTACTTCACAGGCTGTTGATTACTATTTGAAAGCTCTGAGGTCACTGCGAACACGAGACATACATCCAGCTGTGTGGGATTCTGTGAACTGGGAATTGTCCACTACTTACTTTACTATGGCAACACTACAACAAGATTATGCTCCATTATCCAGAAAAGCTCAGGAGCAGGTAGTAAGGTTTGCTTGATTATAACCTAAGTCCCCGACCTTCTTTAGTTTTTTAAATGAATTTTGAGTATCTGTTGTCATCTTTTCCTTGACAAACACTATTTAAATGTGAATGTTCTTGTGTTATAGTGTGATCATACAGCTTCTTATTTTTTTCACCCCTTTGGAAAAAAAATAATATACAGATTGAAAAGGAAGTCAGAGAAGCCATGATGAAGTCTTTGAAATACTGCGATGTTGACTTAGTGTCTCCTCGGCAGCCTCTTTGTCAATATCGAGCTGCAACCATCCATCACAGGCTGGCTTCCATGTACCACAGTTGTCTGAGGAATCAGGTATGGTGCTCTGAGTCAGTCCCGTGCCAAGTCCACTTAGAATATGGTGAGTGCTTTCTGAACAGTCTCGTCTATGCTGTAAGTGCCATGAATGTAGTTAGCTACTTCCTGCAAAATATGTCTCCTATGTGCTTTCCCTCTCAGCTGTGCCATGTGATTGGGTCTATTACAGTTGATGGGGCCTTAGTTCAAAAGTTACACTTTTTTTTTGTATTTTAGGGAAGGGTCTACAGGATGTTCAGGGTCTCACTACTAGATCAGACTCATTGTGATCTGCCTGTTAACAGCCCCCCAAGAGCTGGGATTACAGGCGCGTGCTACCATGCCCTGTCTCAACTGCCGTCTCAGTACACCCCTGGGGTGGGGCCGGCACATCGAAAGTTACACATTTGCCTGAATGTATTACAGAATGTTGTAAATGTGGTTAGTTAGATGTTAGAGTAATTTTTTTAAGTTTTAAAGTACCAATCTCTTATCTTCTATTAGGAAATAGAGCATACATATACATGCATGCAGAAAACATAGGTGGACTTTGTGTATGGTTTAAAGAATGACAGGGTAAGCCCTTACACCTGGCCTAGAAGTTATGCGATGGCCAATTGCCCTGAAGTCCCTCTGGTGTCCCTCTAGGAGTTGCCCTACATACCCACTGGATTAAGGCTGTCCTGAGCTTTCTCCACATCTTTTTGTCCTTCACACTCTGGTGCTGTCATGTTCATTGTACTATGAACTTCATGGAGCACATCATACATGTGCATCCTTCTGTGTCCTGCTGGTTGTTCACATCATGTTACTGTCATTTATCCATATTGATGCTCTCACACCTTAATAGTACTCAGTAAATGACTCTTTCATAATTTTTTTACCTGTCTTGTGGTTATTGAACTTTGGGGCTGAGTAACACTGTTAGGCTCTAGAAGAATCTAGGTCTACTATACATGACGCTGCATGACCTGGGACTCTTACAAGAGCTGCCCATGAGTCCTGGTGCCCCACTGCATGTATCTCTAGAGACTGAGGCCTAGATGAAGGTGTCAGAGAGGCTGCTTAGCTTGTGCTGGAGATGTGTGTCCATTAGTTTTCTCAGTGATAATTTTCTGGTTCATTTTGTAGCTTTTCTTCCTTTCTCAATACTGAGACAACTTACTGTACAGTTGTTTGAGTTTGCTCATGTCTAGGTTGCCCTTATTCCAAGATTATTTTCCTTTGGGACACAGCTTTATCTGGAAAGGATTTCTTTCTGCTGAGCTGTAGTAGGTCTTCAAACAAAGGAGACCGATCCAACAGAAAGTCATAGGAACTGAAGATTATAAACAGAGGAGGAAGATTAATTTTTTTAGCCGTTGGTACTGGGACAGGTGGATATCTGCACATGGAAGGATAGATGAGGCATCCTCCCTTACATCAGAGACCAAAATTAATGGAAATGGGTAAAAACCATGTGCAAGGGCTACAGAAGAAAACTGCAGGAAGAAAGTTTAAAAAGTGTTTGGTGATTCAATCGGAAGGTTTGATTAAATAGTTGGTATGAACCCTACTCTTGAGATTTATTTTTTAATTTTAGCCAGGGATATAGTTACATGGTACAGTGCCTTCCAGGGAAGCACAAGGTTCTGAATTGGATTCTTGTTATAAAAACAAAACAGGGGCCAGGGAGATGGCTCCGTAGAATAAGCGCTTCCCTGGAAAGCGCAAGGGCCTGAGGTCAATCCCTGGTTCCGCAAAAACAAAACAAAACAAAACAAACTACAACTTCTATTTTTTAATTTATTTTTACTCTAGGTTGATGATGAATGTCTTAGGAAACAGCACTGGTTGCTAGCTGATCTTCACTATAACAAAGCTGTAAAGCTTTTTCAGCTTCTCAAAGACGCTCCCTGTGAACTCTTGAGAGTACAATTAGAAAGAGTGGCATTGGCAGAGTTTCAGATGACCAGTAAGTCTGACCTCCCACTTCTCTGATCTGTCTGCATTGGTTTAGTGTCCAATTGTCTTAGAGGGGGCAGGCCTGTGCATTGCCCCTGGATGGGAATAGTCCCGTCTCCCTCTCAGTTTGCCTGTAGTTGTGGATGGGTGTGCAACTGGAGACTGAAGTACTTTTTTGTAACTTAGAGAATCCAGTTTCAACGTGCAAAATGACATAGAGGAAGCAGGAAAAGAGGAGTGGTCCTCACCGGCTCCCTTAAGCCTGGAAGTGACACCTGAACAGTTTTGGGCTGCGGTCCTTGAATGGACACCGCGTAGTACCTGAGAAAGCTGGAGAAAAGTTTTCAGGGAGGAGAGTGCTAAGGAAGCTGGAGTGTCCTCCCTTGTCCTTTCCATTCCAGGGACTAAGCTGATGCTAACCCTTTGTGTTTTCTCTGCACTCGCTCCCTCTTGTCCTTAGACTGCCCCTTTCTTCCAGAGATGGTTTGTGAAGTATCTCTTTTGGAACAAATACTTATAGTGCAGCAATGTATTTGGCTTCATTTAAATCTTTTTCTTGTGAATAGTATTTAAATATTTTTTTCAGTAAAGTTTCAGATGCTGATATATTTCAGATATCTCATTTTTGAATAGGGAAGCTCAGCCCAGGACATCCTTGCTAATATTCTTACATCTGAAACTTCTGAAATCTGAAGTACTCATGTAGGCCTGGAGGAGGGAACCAGGAAGGTGGCGTGGTGCCACGTTCCTTGCGCACTCATTTGGGACACTGGGTACAAATTTGCTAAGATCACAAGTGTAGTAAATTCACTTTTAAAAATGTTTGAGTAGTATGTATATCTTAGGCAAATAACGTGAGTATTAAAAGAACTCTTATTAGCTAGGCTTGTGGAGTTGGTAAGCCAGGTAAGTAAGTGCTCTAGCTTGGCCCAAGTGGCACTGTAAACAACTGAGCTCTCCCGCAAGACCCCAAGTGCTCTAGCTTGTAATGACTTTGTATCTTTTTTTACCCATCCTATGACTCACTCTTCTCAGTGTCTCTGTGATCTGCTCCATGCCTCAATAATATTTCCACACATAGTCACAGTCTCATCTTCCAGATTACAAATTCACTGATTTAGAAAGACAATACATTGGGCTGGTGAGATGACTCAGTGGTCTAAAGCACTTACTTAGAACAAGCTAAGCCAAGCAAAGCAGAGGGACCGCGGTTCAATCCCCCAGCACCACATGCCAGCCAGCCCTGCCCCCTGGTGGGCTGAGCTAGCCACAAAAACCAAAAAAAAAAAAAAAAAAAAAAAAAAAAAAAAAAAAAAAAAAAAAAAAAAAAAAAAAAAAAAAAAAAGAAAGACAATACATTGGTTTTAAGTCTGGGATTATGCTGTGAAGGACAAAACAGCAGTTACTCCTTTCTTCCAGAATGGGGAGTCTCCAAACCTACTTTCACTGGCATCAGCTCCAACTTTAAGGGTACCCAGGACACCACAGGCTCATTCAGTAGGGCGGCTCAGAAGGCACAGAGAGCTGCTCTCCCCTTGGTTGCAACTGCCTATAGTGCGAAGCAGGGCGCTTCCAGCAGTTTTTTCCCACCGAGTTACAGACAGTGCTGTACCCGCCTTTCGCCAGCAGTAATGGGTAACAAACAGTACCACACTGACCCCAACCAGAGCTCACTCTGGCCTTGCGACCCACAGTTTGGTCTGGGATTTTTTCACATAGACATGAGTGACTGCTGTGTGGCTGGCTCGGCTGCCGGTCCTCTGCAGGACTGTGAACCAAAGTCCCCAACATACATCGCTTTGTTCTGGTCTTCAGTATAGCCCCTTCCTCCATCCCCAACCCCCAGTAAATAAAGACGCTAAGCAGGCAGGGCCTTCCAGGCTTAGCCCTCACCTGGTGGAGTGAGACACAAAGCAGGCCTCTCTTCCAAAAGATTAGTGTTCTGCCCTGCATCACTACATGCACATTGACTGAGCTCAAGGAGAGCAAGCAGCAGCACAGATGCACCATAGTTAGCTGCACTCGGAAAGCTCTGGAGTGAAATGCAGCCTTACTCTTCTGGTCTGATGGTGCCTTCGGACAGATTCTGCAGTGCTCAGCACGCACTGAGTGCTAAGTGACTCGACCAGGCTCACACAGCTGACACATGGTGCAGTGGCCTTTGAACCACAGAGCCCTCTCTGGGCCTCCTCAGCTGTTGTTTCTGCCTCTGGTCTCTGTTCCAAGAAGGTTATCTTCTCACCCTGACAAAACCAAATCAGGAGACAGAAGCAGTTTTGATTTATCACTGTGTTTGGCTTTATTCTTTTTTTCCCTCAAAGGAAAATTAGTGAACAGAAGGGGGATTTAGAAGATTTGTTGGGATTCTCCTAAGTGTCTGCGACACTATGTGAACATCAGTATTTTCAGGTGCACATGGTGGTGCACGCCTGTAATCCCAGCACTGAGGAGGCTGCAGCAGGAGGATTGCTAGTTCAAGACTAGTTTAGACTACATAGTAGGTTCAAGGCCAGCCTGAAATACTGAGACTCTGTCTCAAAACATAAACCAACAGATCAGAATTTTCTCTTACCATCAGATGGATTTCTAGCTGTGTAGCTAAATGGATGACCATTTGTGCTTCCTGCCTTAGGTCAGAATAGCAATGTTGGAAAGTTAAAAACACTATCGGGGGCTCTTGATATCATGGTGAGAAGTGAGCATGCGTTTCAGCTCATCAGGAAGGAGCTTATGAAGGACCAGCTTATGAAGGACTCAGACCAGAGGAGTAAGGTTGCATTTCAGGTAAATGAAGAAAATCATTTCTTTAGAGTTTTATGTGCCTTATACCAAACGATGGCTACATATAGTGAGCACATAGTATGTGTTCATAAAATGTGTATTTGTGTGTGTAGATGCATAATATCCCATTAATACCGCCACCAATTTTGTTACAGTGGCAAAACACTGAAGCTGCTGGGTAACTTATGAAGGGGAGATATTTATTGCGTTCATAATTTTTGTGGCTGAAGGGTCCAAATAGCATGGCACCATTGTTCTGTGAGGACCCCTGGCTGTCCCAAGGTGGTGAAGCAGAAAAAAATCCTGACACTAGTAAAGTGGGCCAAGACATGAGCTAACCTCCCCTTATGCCTACTCATTCTTGCCTGATCGAGTCACAGGAGACCTGGCCTCATGAGGGACAGTGTTAACCCATTCACTGGGTTGAGGCCCCTCCACCAGTTCTTCTCATGAAGCCTGCCTGTTACAGCTTCCATCAGCTAAAACGAGGCCCCAGTCCATGAACCCTTACAGGAAAAACTGTAGCTGTTACTCTGGTGTGGTAAAAAAGACTAAACTGCTTCATTTAATTTGCAAGTATATCTTCTAAAAGATTTTAAGATTATGGCTTAAGGAGACCCATAAATCATAGTTAGCTAAGGCACTAGTTACCAGGTTATAAACCCTCTCTATTTGTGAGAGAGTTTTTTTTTTTAGTCAAAGACAGAATCACCATCTTCTCCATAGTCTCCACTAACCTGTTGGGGAGCAGTTGAATGGTGAATGGGATTAAGCAGACTCCACTGAAGGCACTTTCTGTGTCTGGGCATACCAGCATTCGTGCTGCCTTCGGCTGCTGTAGACACTCTTTGGTCCCTATCCATCCACCCATTGCCTTCCCATCCTTGGTAGTCAGCTCCTGGGTAGACCCAGTTCCATGGTGCCCTGCAGGGACCAGTGTTGGAAAGGGAGGAGACTGTCGCTTGGGATTCCTTTCTTTTTCTCTTTATTTAAGTGCTTCTTAGGTGTGGGACACATTTGTTGTGTTTCAGGCTGTCAAAGTGATCTCTTGTGCTTTGGGTTAATTTGTCTTGGTTTACATTTGATTGAATTAGTGAAACTGCACTGTTATTCCTTAAATGAAGTAAGACTTTGTCATTTTTAGCCTAAGGGTAGTGAAGCCAGTCCAGCTACTGATTCTTCCAGTCTTAACCAAGAAGAAGTGATCAAGCTCCTCAGTATATTTGAATCTCGACTCTCATTTCTTCTCCTTCAGTCCATTAAACTGCTATCTTCAACTAGAAAGAAAACATGGTAAATTACATGATTACTTGTGGAAACTTCTTTCCTAGCATCTTACCTATAAAGAGACTTTTTATAATCTCTATAGACATTATAAAGAAAAATAGGTTGTGTTCTTTCTTGTATATGGAAAATGCAGAATTTCAAGAGGTTTTCCTTCTTGACTTGTTGAAGGTGAAAATCATCTCTGTGGGGCCAACTACATATTCAGCTTGTAGACAGGGCATTGGCTACCAAGAGGTAGAAATCCTGTTTGTGTGATGTAGTCCCTGGGACCCTGTTGTGGAGACTAGCTCTCCTGAATGTGTATCTAATGGGAAATCTGGCCCACAGTTTAGATATTCAGGGAGGGAGAGAGAGAGATGGTGTAATCAGTTGATCTACCACGAGAAGGTACAAAATTTTCAGAACAAACTATGAGAGTAAGCAAAGGGAGTGGCGTAACAATACTCTCACTGTGTGACTTTCTTGGGCCAGCAGTTGGAGCTGCTGAGTGTAGAGTGAAGAGACACCAGGAGGCTCTAGTGGTGGGGGTGGGAGCTGTAGGCAGCTCTGGGGGGGCCGGGGCTCGAGCTGGCGCCCTGTAGCTACTTTTGATGTGAGGTCTACACTGTTCCAGGGTCGGTAGGCTAGGCTAGGCTTACAGAGGTTTGCTCCACTTCCCTTCTACCTTGTCTCAGCTCCACTGTCTCTCGTCTCTCAGTTGTGGCAAGTACCACCTGGTGCTCCCTTGATTGTTCATTGTATGTTGTCTGCTGGTGCTCCCCACTCTACCCTTAGCAGGAAGCAGGGATCTTTTTTTGCTTTGGTTCACTGCCCAGAGCAGCTCCCTGTGCACAGTAGGCTTTCAGATATTTATAAGAAGTTGAATGAATGTACTAGTTTTAATTTGTATTTGACATGTCTAAAAACAGGCCCCAAAACAGTAGCTATAAAAAGATAGGCACGAGTGCCAGTAGTGGAATGTGGTGCTCTGTACAGTGTGACCCTTGGCCTCGTACTGTTTGTTTCGGGTCCCTTTCCACTGTTGCCTTCATGTTTTCTTTTTCACCCCAGCAGTAGCATTGATGAGGATGTGGTCTTCAGAACTAATAAGCAGATCTACTCTCAGCTTTTGAGAGCAACTGCGAACAAAGGTGCAAGTCTTTTGGAAAGAATCGACATCATCATCCATCTACTGGAGCAGCTCGCCCATGGCGGCAGTCCCATGAGTGGTGACTCTGTCCCCGTCCAGTGACCACGCCCAGAGCCGTGTCACCCAGCATGCTGTCAGTGCCTTCTGAACATGGGAGCTGCTTTGTCCATTTGGTGCTGTTTCATTAAATGTAAGGAAATACCCATCTGGCAGGGAGGACAGTGGAAACATGCCGTTCTTCCTACTGTAGACAGAGTATGTGGTAGGGTTCTCTGGCTTCTCCATTTGAAGTTCCAAAAGCAGAGTCAACCCAGAAGCTTCCAGAATTTGTTCTTTGAGAAGTATGAGTTACCTCACTAGACATTGTGTGATGCAATTACACCTTAAATATTTTTGAAGTATGTTAAGCTACATATATTTAAGATACAAGTATTTTAAGTGAACTGTTCCTTTGGTCAAGGGAACTGTTATCCAAATGATTTTATAGGTTCAAATAGGTTTTAGAAACTTCCTATATGTCTATAATGTTTTATTCTAAATTGCACAGAAAAGTGTACCCTTTTAAGATTCACTGCAAGATATTTTAAAAACTGGCCATGGTGTAGACTGTTCTAAATGCATGTTCTAAAGGGAGTTGCTTTTCTTCAACTTCATATATAAATAGTTGAGTAAGGATAGGTACTACCCCATTTTTTTTTTCATTTTTAACTTGAAACTGTGAATAAGATAAGAAAGCTATTTTGAATAAAGCATTTATTTAAAATATTTTTGTGTGTGCTGATTGTCAAGTTCTGATTTGGGGAAAATATTTTTGTATTTTTCATTCTTCATATTGAGTCAGCATTTGGACTCAGTTCAATCAATAACTTTTACAAAGCTTATACATTAAAAATAAACTTCTGCTGTCCACTAAGTGAACATGACAGCTACTTGTGCTGCTCTGTGGGCCATGTCCAGTTGCATATGTATACATGACCAGTTTTCAAAGTCTGCAGAGGAAAGACTATATTTGACCTTCATAATTAATGTCCTCAGTTTCAACAAAGACAGTATACCATGTAAATTACTGACTCTCATGTTCAGAAGACAGTGTGGAGTGCTGTACCTGACACCACTGTGGCCAGCCTGCCTGCACAGGCCTGATGGCAGGGAGTGATCCCAGGGACTCCCTTCAGTCCTGCCCAGAGGGCCATCGTGTCACCCTACAGGTCCTCCTTATTGACCAGCAGCCCCTTCCTCACCAGCCCCACCTCACTGTAGGAATCTGCGATAAATGGATTTTCAACTGCTTTCTTAGAGATTTTCAAGTGTCTTCATGGCACTTGGAATGAGTTGGCACCACCTACGTTAGCTTGGCGGAATTCTCTTACCATTTATCCAATTCTTTGTTTATTTGGCGTGTCCTGTCTTTGGGACAAATGTGCATCCTTGGCAAAGGTTAGTCGCTGAATATTTAAAGTTTTGTCTAACTTGATGGAAGTTCAGGATACAAGAGTGACTGATCTTATCTCCCAGTCTTTCTTAGCTGAATAGCCTTTCCCTCAAAAGGATGATTGTCTTTAACCAAGAAACTATGAATTCTACCTTTCCTTGTCAAAGAAAGAACATGAAACTTTCCACAGGAAAAAGTACTTTTTACATGTATTTGTAAGTTGGCAATTTAAATTCAAATGAAAGCTTCAGGAGGTAGCTATATTTTAGCTGTTCCTTTTGAACAACTGTGTTACGGGTGGCCTGATCACTGATGATACCCAGTGGTCCTCAGTTAATTTCATTGTCCACGTGGCATTGGGTCTGGTTTTGTTTTTAAATGTAATAATCGTGTACTAGTTAAAGGAACACAATGCCTATCCTAGATATAATGGACATGGCAAAAATAAAAGTACCAGTGGCTTTCGGAGGTGTACTTCACGGTCTGGCCTTGAGAGCCTAAGTGAACTATCAGGGTAAGTTTACTGCTTTCCAAGGAGAGGACTGCGCAGATGAATTACAGTAAGCCAGAGAAGCTTTTCTGTTCAGGACTGCCAGCTGGCCCATGCAAAATGGAGCACATAGGACAGGCAGGAGACCCCCAAGGACTGGATGGAGCCAGAAATAGGAGGTGGGCCCAGGAGCCACCACCAGGTTTGACTGGTGAACTTCAGCTCTTGGACTGAAAATCCTGACAGTAGTGAAGATGTAGACAGACACAGTGAAAACCTTTTGTACCCTGTCAATTAGAAAAAAAACTTGTCATGATGACAGGAACCTTGAACTTAATGCCAATTCTTTGAACTTTCTCTCTGAACCCTTACTTTTCAGTATATATAGTACAGCCATGTCCTTCCCCTTAGGGGTGGTACCTCCTTTCTTGATGGTTTGACCCATGGTTCTGGCTGCTTTTCTGACCCACAGGTACAGGGTGCTGCAGTGTTGGAACAGGACAAAGCTGCAGGGCCCCAGTCACAGGCAGAAGCAGAGAGGGATTTGTGGGGTGCTTTCTTTGTTGTTTTTTAAGCGCTTCTAAATTTATTATTTGGTAATTTTTTTATGCAATTGATCTTCAAGCCATGCATTTTTGAAGTTCATGAAATGTTTTCAATGTTTTTGTTTTGTTAAAATGGCTGGGGGAGTCGTAATTGCTTCAGTTATTAAACATCTGACTTTTGTCTTTGTAAAAAGTCAGATTTTTTTCTTTTTCATATAGAAGAAAAATCCTAAGATTCTGTTTTCCTCTTTTGTAGAAGAAATATAGTACTGAGGATTGAACCTCAGGGTCCTGCACTGAGCTTCATCCACAGACTTTATTTCAGTGTAGGTGCTGCCCAAGTGAGGGCTCCTAGACTTCTGAGACAGGCTCTTGCTAAATTACTCCAGCTGGACTCCAGCCTGTGACCCTCCTGCCTCTCATTACATGGTAAGTGTAGAGACGTGGATGTTACAAACATCAAACCACTTCTCTGAAACAGAGTTTTTTGGAAATAAACCATTAGAGGGAAGCCAGGGATTCTGCCGTTTGTCCTTCTCACTAACTACTTTCCAATAGGCACCGCCTTTGAAAAAGAAAGCGGAGCTGTGTGCGTAGGAGTAGTAAGCTGAATCTATGTTTCTGAACGGATGGTTTTGTGGGGTCATTGCTGGAAAGACTTCAGTAAGCTTCTTTGGATAGGACTTAAGTACTTGATTTCTGTTGACATCAAATGCAAATACCTGTAAAACAAGGTAAGTAGTAAGACTGGCTTTTCTGAAGATGGTTGATTTTTAGGTTAACTTACAGTAATTAGTTAATGAAACCTGACTTTTTGCCACATTCTTTAGATTAGAAACTCTAAATAATTTTCTACCTAATGACTTTCCACTACTGTACATATTTGAAGTAATGAGCACAGCTTTCAATTGAGAACTCGGTCATCTGGCAAATCTTAATCAGCACTCACAGAAGTAATGCTACTTACAAAGGAGTCCTTGTCAGGGAGATGGCTCAGTAGAATAAGCACTTGCCTGCCAAGTGCAAGGGACTGAGTTCAATCCTCAGTTCTGCAAAAAAAAAAAAAAAAAAAAAAAAAAAAGGAGTCCTTGAAGAAGTAAATTAACTGCTTCCTTCGGTCATAAAAGGCAGTGTCTAAGGGGCTGGGGATGCCAGAAACACTTCTGAAATCAGTCTGGGGTAGTGTCTTCTTTGTTCATCTTCTAGGATAGACTGATCCTTGTCACTGTCGTATCTCCAGTATTGGTTTTCTGAAAGCAAATAAAAAAAATGCTAACATGGAGACTGGGTGTGGTGGCTGGCGTAAGCCTGTAATCCCAGTGCTGGGGACCTAAAACAGGAGGATCACTATGAGTCTGAGCTGCATAGCGAGACCCTGTACCAAATACATGAAATTAAAAAAAAATGCTAACATGATTTATTAATTAGGAAACCTGGCAAAGAAGACAACTTCCAAAATAGGCCCAAGCCAATCCTGCATGAAGTTCTGCTGATGCCAGGAGAAAGCATGGTTTTCCTTATGTGACTAAAGGTTCACGCAGTGAATTTTTCCCCGGTCTTGAATAACTTAACAAGGTGACCCTAGTGGCCCATTTCTCTTTACATTTCACTGCTATGGTGAGAATGCTGGTGGCCTTTCACAGTGAACCTCAGCCATGAGATTCCCACTGGCTGTCATCAAAAATAAAACAAAAACAGCATGTGTCATTTGAGTATCTTTAGTCTTCCTCTTTTATAGTTTAAAGATCTGTTACACATTAATATCTCACAGGTTGGCCTGAATCATCTTCTTACCCTAATTGATATTAACAATCTTTTAATGAAAGAAATCCTGAGGCTAATTATGGGATTATATTTTTTTCTTATTAAAATCTGCTAGCTCCACATCCACCCCCACTTTGCAAATGAGAGCAGAAGAAAAGGGAGCCCAGGTAGTTCATCCAATCCAGACAGCACGGCTGAGTGGAGATGCAGTCCAGAACTCCCATCTTCCACCCAGGTAGATTCTGCCCTTTCCCAGGAAATACAATCTTTGTGTGGCAAAGTCCAAAGGCTAATTTCATGCTCTGAAGCAGGAGAGGGCTATTTCTGCCTTTCCTTATTTCTAATCCCAAATATCTGGTGTGTTGCCAACACAATAAAACCCACTAAGCTAGGTATTCCTACGCCATAATTAACAGAACACCTCAAGCAGTTACACCTCTTAGTTCCCAAATGCTCGACATATTTGGAAATGTTTACCACTGAGAACAATGTGACATGATATCCCAATACAGACATAATTCACTCAAAGTGGAAGTTTAAAAACAGAATTCACAACAAATTAAGATTTTTTTAAAAGGTCCAAGAACAAAATGGAGCTGTATTATGCAGTGCCCCTCACCCATGATGACCCAACTCAATACTGGTGCTTTCAGTGTTGCCAACATAAACTAGTCTGGAACCCCTTAAAATCACTGAAAAATGTGCTCCCAATTGTGAAAGACTGCAACTACAAAAGCCTGCCATAGGGCAACTGCTTGATGTAACCAAACTAGGATGATTCTTCTGTGTAATGTAAAGGATAATTAAAGCCAAATTTACACAAGGATCCCAATGGGGAAGTTTGTATAGAAACATCTTCTACTGTTGCTCTTGCTTTGTTTACTCTGAACAATTTACGGCAGTATGGTTTGTATTGCTAGGATTCAAGACTAGAGTGTACGCAACTTTGGTCTCGGTTGGAGGGCAAAGGAAAAGCAGTAGCCCTTGTAGGTGTGGGATCAGACTGCATTGGCAGTGCAGGGTGCCTATGTGAGCTGGGTGTGGAGGTGCTTGACTGTGGCTGTGGATGAGGAAGACCAGTGACAAAACAGCCCCAAGCTGCCCATTTTCACATGGCCAGCCCCACCCCCAGGCTTACCAATGCCCGGCAGTTCAGCATTTGCTGGCTGCCTGCTGGGTGAAGTCTATCCCTGGTCCAGGTATGTGAGACTTTCTAAGCTCGGACCAACCCAGTCTTCCCAACCAAGTCTCCTTCTGAGTGCCTCCCCCGTGCACACACCTACCCCAACAACTTGACAGCCACGTATTGCCTGTGCCTTCTCAGCTTCTGCTACTTGACCCTGGTCATGCTTGCACTTCCACACCCACACCATCCCAAGCACCTTTTCATGGGTATTCTAGATTCTACCCATCCCTAAGTGTAGGCCAAGCCCCAACTGCTGGTGCTGCCAATATGGGATTCCAGGTGGCAGTGGTCATCTCTCCTGCCCAGCTCACCTCTTGGAGACATATTTCTATTTGTAGCCTTCCAAGGTAGGCTCTTTTCCTCTAGGACTATGAAAAGGCTCTCTCTATGGTTCTTTGATAATCACCCAAGTTTCTAGCAAAGTTATTCACTCATCCTTTCATGCATTCACTCAGTAACTTAGATGCCTCTTGAAAAATCAGGGGATCAGGGCATGGTGGGGCACACCTGTAACCCCAATTACTCAAGAGGTTGAAGCAAGAGGATCACAATTTTGAGACTAACCTGGGCAACTTAAAACAAAGGTTTCAAAGGGAGGGATGAGAGTGCTGGAGCTGGAGCTCAGCACTCCCTGTGTTCAATTCCCAGGACTGACTCCTCAGAAAGCAAGCAGGGTATATGCCCCAACTCCCATGTTCATAAATGTATATCCTGGTGGAACAGACAGAAGCTAAGCAGTAATTACCAGACCATTCAATGGATTCCTTAGTTACGGCTTGAAACATCTATCCTGAATGCATTTGTTTAATGAGAGAAATAAGCCACCCATGAAAAATCTTTACCTTTAAAAAAATAATGCTTATCTCTTCTCTGTGTGTATGGACAAATGCATCTATGTTTTGCATCGGGATCCCATGCCAGCCAGTGAGTATTTGGATAGGATCCTTGTAGCACGTCCTGTTGTTTCTATTTTCATAAAGCCAGTACCAGCTGTTGCAGAAGAAATACGTGGTAAATCTCACCATCACTTCACCATATTGGTTTCTCTCATTGCAAATCCAGTTAAATGCAACATCAAAGGAACCTGAGAAGAAAAGCAAAAGCCAGCCCCTTGTCATGTGGCACAGAAACTAACTTCCATGTGTAACTGGAATAGAGATGATTGCAAGGTCAGACTTTTCTAAACATGTTAAATCCAGACAGCACCCCAGGCTGGAGGTAGCCCCGGAGATGGAGCGGGACACAGGCTGCTGCGGCAGCCCTGACCTGCACGCTGCTCAGATGCTAAGCTGTGTGGTCACCAGCACTGGAGCTCATGCGGGCCCTTGCAATGGCCGGTCTGACTTCCTTAGAGGAAAGAAGTTTGGTATTGGATACACACAAGACTAAGATTTCCATCAGTGGGGAAAGTGTGTCGTGGTTTTCATTGTTTGCAAGGGTACCAAGTGCCAAGGACAGGATAATGGGACTAGAAGAGACACAGGCGGTTTCTGTGAAGGGCCTTTCAAGGTCCTGGGCTTTGTGCATATGTGCTACATCATTGATCATTTTTTTATTAAATAATTAACCACTAGTACTTTGGCCCAAACAATTAAATAGAGATGAAAACTGCCCAGGTGAAGCTTAGCTGCTCTTTGCCTTGAGAGTGCAGTAAATGTCTTCCAGTAAGGTTTCCAGGTCAGCAGCTCTTGTGAGATGCTGCCAACCTAATGCCTGTGGTGTTTGGGAGAGAGTGCTGGGAGGGGGTGCCTGTCGACAGTGTGCTTGGCCCTCTACCTGGGCTGCTGTCTGGGACAGACCACTTTTAACTACAATGATTGAATCATGCAGCTAGAGGGCAGCTACTCGGGCATGTGTGTCTTTGAGTTCTATGGGAGCTGGCCTCTAAGTGACCATTGAGTGGGCTCTTGTTGTGTTTTAGCATTCTTTTTTTTTTTTATTGTGGAACCAGGGATTGAACTCAGACCCTTGCGTTTGCCAGGGAAGCACTTATTCTACTGAGCTATCTCTCCAGCCCCTCCCCTGTGTTTTGGCATTCTGAGCATCTTCTAGGAGCTTGGAAGGCCTGCTCAAGGACCAGCTTACCATACAGCTTTTAAATTGCTCTTCTGTCTGACCAGTTCAACTCAAAATAGGCTCCTGGGGAATATAATTTGGTGGCATTATGGATCCCGTCCTGTAGATGTCAGGCAAGCCCAGGACATGGTCGATCTCGTGGACAACCACCTAGAGCCGGGACACAAATCAGAGGTAAGGACCAACCTGGACCTTTAAGTAGCACAGGTACAGATCCCTGAATTACAGAGGGCAGGCCTGTGCCTCACACAGAGCTGCTCTTATTCAGAAGGGGGGCAAGACAAGAACTTGGGCACCATCCCCACAGACCCACCAACCTTCTCAGAAGGGCATGAACATGTCCTAGAGAAGTCCATGCTGCCCTGCCCTTTGCCTCCACAGAGCAGGTGGAACCGCTTACTTGGAGAAGGCTGATGCCCATGTCACAGGAGGGAGGCGTGAGGTGATCATGGTCATCGAAGTGGGTATCACCCAGGCGCCAGGCATGAGCAAACCCCTGCCTGCTCCCATCAAACACCTGAGTACAGCCCAAGTGCTGGCCTGGTAAGGGGAGAGGGGTGGTCCCAGTGAATGCGGGGTTTGCCTGCTGCAGATTCCCTACCTAACCAGGTACAGGCATCAATAGTGTCCCAGACTCAAGCAGCAGGGGTGAGCAGGGGGACAACTCCTGGAATAACTCCTGGGAGGTTGTCTCCAAGCAGTGTGATTGTAAAGACTACAGGAATGGAACCAGGTACAAAGTGTTGGGGGACAAGGGTGTCAGAGGGAGGGGGTGATGTCAGAAGGTGACATCTTGAAAACAGATAATTCAAACTGGGTCCTGATAGCTGGGCAGGTCATGAAGGAAGGAAAATTGCCATTTCTTACATTCATAAAATTTTCAACAAACCCAGCTGGAACATTAATCCAACAAGGCCAGTGAAGTTGTTAAGAGCACCCCTAGTTCATCGATGAGGCTGCAGAGAAATTGTGACATTTGTCTAAGGCTTCTAACTTTAGTTACTGACTCCATGTATCTGTGGCCTCTCCATGAGGGGATTTAATTTGATGAGCACACCCCAGCAGCCAGCCTGCACCCACTGGGCCCACCTGCTCCCAGGGGAGGAGGGGCCTGGCCCTCATGTCCTCCATGGGAGCCTGCTCTGAAGAGCCATGAGCCCATCCCCTGCCTGGCAAGTTCTTGGTTGGCAATGCTGGCAGAGGGCTTAAATCTGCACCCCAGGCCCTACTCTGTCAGATGTCACCTAAGAATGAGCCTAGCGGGTAACCATCCTTGTAACCATCTTTCTGCAAGTGACAGAAGCAACTGAGATGGGATGAATCTAGGTCATTTAAGGTGGCACCAAGGCAGGGTCCTTGGTGAAGAGAGGTTGGAGGTGCCAGGAAGGGACATTCCAAGTCCATGTCCATTTTACCTTTCCCAAAACCCAGTTTTATGTCCACCATAGCCCCAGGGCCAGTGAGGTCCTCCTTGAAGTTCAGGGGGGTCACCTCGCTCCACATCCTGAAGGCCAGTTTGAAAATGTACCTCTGCTCATCCACAGAAAGCTGGCTGCTGTAGGCCTTGCCCACCAGCCTCCAGGTCAGAATCTTTTTGGAGAAGGTCCTGGTGGCCCCACTGTCTGAGGAGTCCTTCTGCTGCCTTTCCAGCCTGGGTAGCAGCATTTGCAGGAATCACTTTCGTCTGGATCTGGGCTGTTGACCTAGAGGGGTTGACAGAGCTGGAGGGGTTGACGGAGTGGCTTGGGGTGGGAACTGCGTGTCAGGAACACCACAGTGTGGCTTGTTCATGGCCAGCAGTGTGACTTTGTCCAGCTTCCCACTGACTGGCAACACATTGGTTTTCTGGAATTTTCGCATGGCTTCAGCGAGGGTGATACTGGCCTGTGCCTCTGCTGTCCTCCTGAGGTTGCGACTCCAGACTGAAGACAGTCCTGACCAGCCATAGCTGGATAAGAATCTCTACATGAGAGAAGCAATGCCTACATCCATGAGGTGCCTTGTGGCAGGGTCTTCCCTGGCCCCTAAGTCTGCACTGCCCCAAAACTATGCAGGAGAGAAAGAAGAGAGGAAGAGGGAGGCAAGAGAGGAGATAGAGAGACAGGGAAACAGAGCAAGTGAAAAGTGTGGTAGGAGGTGAGGACATTGTCCTGTGAGTGGGACAGTCTGGGCTACTTGGAGTGACATCACTGGCACCACAGAGCCCAAGAAGGGGCAGAGTTGGAGCTATCCTGGCGGGTTTGGCACTGGAAGCAAAAGCCAGGTTGGAGACAGAAGCATCCTGAGACCACAGAAGAGGAAGGAGAGGCCATATAATGGCCAGGTCAGGATCCTGGACTTAGAACCAGGCCTGGGGGCAGGTGGGTCTGAGGACTGAGAGCATCTTCCTGGCACACAGGGTGGAGGGATGCAGGGCCACACTATGCCACCCTCAGCAGCCAAGGCAGGCCCAACCCTGGGACCCTCCTCACCTCCCTCCTGCTCCAGGGTACCGTGAAGCCAAGAAATAGTGTTGGAAACCCTGACTTCTGCTTGTAGCATATGGTGATCGTAAGATTGCAAGGTCCAGGCTGAGTTTGAGGCCTCCTTCAGTCCACTCCCTGCTCCAACCCCAACCCACAACCCCTGTGAGGCCTTGCTCTTGGCACTGCAGAGCTCCAGCAGTCTACGGATGCCACCAGGATGGCTCTGCTGAGGACCCTCGACAGTGCCATGTGAGACCTTTACCAAAGCTGTTCCCTTCTCTGTATCTAGAGAGCAGCAGCTAGGCTGCCAAGGAACCTCACTGGAACAGCCCTGACCATATCACTGGCAATTAGAAAGGCCCTTGATATTGAAGTCTGTCATGCCTGTACAAGGCAGCCTGAAATTAGTGAACTAGAGGTTGACCCAAGGGGTTGTCCATTAATATGTCTGTTATATAGCTTAGGGGTGGAGCACGTGTCTAGCACCTGCAAGGTTCTGAGTTCCATCCCCAGTTCTGCAAAATACAAGAAGATAAGCATGGAGCCATTTTCGGACCATGGGACCATGGGAAGCCCTTTTCCCATAAGGCTGGCCTGACTCTTGCCAGCCTGCTGGACTCTGCCTCTACAGTCCAGCTCCTATACCCATGCTCTGGCCCACACATGTGAGCATGCGTAGCATGCATGTGTGTGTATATATGGGGTGACGCTGCACTTGGGTTCTACCTGAGCAGCCTGGACGTCAGCAATGGGCCTGGCCTGGTACAGAGGGGACAGCTCCAGGTCTAAGCAGTCCCGGCTGTGGAAGAGGGCCTCAGGCTTTGCAAGCCAGGGGGCAGCCAACGAGCAGAGCATTAGAGTTGGATGCAAGACAGAGGCAGTGAGCATGACCGGCCCGAACTCTAGCCCTCTTGCCTTGCTTGTCCCCATTTCTCCCCTTAAGGAGCAGGGTTTGGGAACCTTTTATAGGCAATCAAACATTTCTCACCCCGCCCCGAAGTGTGTGAAGTGTGGCCACCACAAGGCTGCTCCACAGGCCCTGGGTGACTGCCTTTCAAGACCCCAGGGCCACCTTTCTCGCTAGCATGAGAGCTCCCCTTCCCTCAGCCCTCTGAGTTTGCCATATCCTTCGGGAATTACATCCCAAGACTGCAAACACCTGTGGGTTGCGTTGTCATGGTGATGTACATGTGGACAAGTTTACTGCCTAAAGGAGCTGTGAGATTGCAGTGCATGTCCATCCATCAGGAGAGGCACAAAACCATCTTCCTAACCCCTTATAGCTCGGAACTGGACCTGCAGTTTTAAAAACATGACCATTACTGTGCTTAGAATTTGGGTCAAGCTCTTTTGGCCAAGTGGACTGGGGTGTATGGATTGTTAGTTTGTAAGACATTCTTTTCACCTTTATTCTCATTTTTTTCCCTTATTTAAATAAGTTAAATCATTATAGGAAGTATTGTATGTTAAAAACACTCAGAATAAGGGGTAATCCTGTACTTCAGGCAGTACTATTTTGATGACCATTCTTACGGATATAAATGTGTATGTGCATAGAGAGGCCTCACTCTCTTTCTCCACCCCCCATGTGTGTCTGTGAGTTTACATAAACCACATATTCTCTAGCTCATTACAATTCAGTAATGTGTCACAGGTATCCCCTCTGTGGTCCTGAATGTAGATTTTTTTATTATCCTACTTAGTGCCTTTGTTGAGACACAAAAATTTCTGGGTGGTAGATTTTTATGGGTATGAACTAGAGCCACCTGAGGGTCCAGAGCACCTTCCAGGCCACATCACATTACCCTGTTTCTCCTCACAGAAGATCTGGTCTTTTTAGGACCCTGAGACAGGCACTCCCCTCAAGTGAGCTTTGCTTCAAGCAGACCAAAATGGCGGCCTTCAGACTGTGAGGTCAGACAGGGCTGCAACAGAGACATGGAGAGAGTGGCCTTGCCCCTGCTGGACTGAGCCCTAGGTCTCCCTTTGATTGTCTACAATTTCTCACTTCCCTCACTCCTGACCAGATGGGCAGTGTCCTGCAGGGTCACCAAATCACCATGTGGGAGGCTACCCCCAATTATCTGATCATAGTGAACCTGAGATTTGGGGTAGGCTGGAGTTTGGCAGACTGGGCTATTAGAAACCCCCAAGGCCCTGGCCTGTGTCCAGAAGGATTCTGAGCATTCTGCTCCCTCAGAGAGATCTGCCTGCCCTACACAGCTTGTCCTTTCTTTCCTGGCCAGGGGAAACATGAAGGCTAGGGGCAGGACAGCTGGGCATGTCTAATGTGTGGTTCATTTTATAGGAAATACAACAATTTCTTGCCTTTACAAAATCGGGGGTGGTGTGGGGAGCAGTACAGTGTTCCCACCCAGACCTCCTCCTCCTCCCTAGAGATGCCCCACTCCTGTCAGCGCCATGCCAGCTGCTGTATCACCTGCCGCCTTCTCAGTGCTGAAGGCTCCCATGACTCAGATGCCCCATGCCCATGGGGTCCTTGTATCCTCGGGGCTGAGTTCGGTGTCCTGCACCTGACCACTGTTGCGCTCTGGCCTCGCTGCTGCTGCTGCCATTTTGATTGGAAGTCTGACTTCCACTTTGCATGGCTAAACTCTGGCCTGACCTGGCCTTCCAGAACCCCTGGCTCCTTCACCTCGAAGCCACACGTGAACGCGGCCCCTGAGACAAAGCCACGGAGGCTGTCCCTTGTTCTTACTGTGCAGCCCCCTGACTCCAGCTGAACCAACAGCCCATGTGGCTGAGTCATCCTCCTTCTGTGTCCTTGTGTCCCTCACTAGAGGGTGCCCGAGGGTTTCCCTCAAAGAAAAGGGACTTCACCCACAACTGAAAGAGGTTCCTCCACTCTTGTCAAGTGTTCCAGGGTCTGTTTAGGAGTGACACAGGCAGATTTATTAAGCAGAATCAAACAAGCACACTCAGAAGGGAGTGTGGGGATGCACAGAGTGAAGCACTCGGTCTGAGGTGGCAACGTTTACGTGGTCTTACGGATGTCCACGTGATGACTCCTCTCAGATGCGAATGTCTGTTAGGTCACCCACTGAGGTGGCTTAAAATGCAGAGTGCACTTGCTTGGAGACCAGAGATGTGGACCATGAACAGCGTTGTGGCCTTTAGGGTGGAATTTGTGAACTTACAGTATCGGAAAAAAACAGGCCCAGTTTAATACTTAAGCATTTAAGAGGGGAAGCCTGGAAGACAAGGAAAACCAAACCAAACCAAAACAAGACAAAACAAATGATGGTCTAATGATGAAAAAAAAATGTAATCTTGAATTTAGTGTTTTGAGGCTGCAGTTTCTTAAAAGTACAAATTTAAAATTCCACTCCCCTTGCCTCCTTTCTACCTATCTTTATTTCTTCTGTCATGCTCCGCTCCTCCTCTCAGCCTCCTCTGTCTGACTTAGAGCCCTCAGAAGCCGCCTTAGTCTCTGGGCAGCAGAGTGAGCAGGGCCCCAGCCGGGGTCTCACTGTTCTCCTCCTCCACACCACCACTTCCTGTCGACTCATCCTCTCCTCCAGCCCTGAATCTTGCACTGCTCCCAGCTTCCTCCTCACCCACCTTCCCCTTGAGTATTTCCTCCCTCAGTGAGTCCCACGGATGACTACCTGTCCCTCATGGGCAAGGAAGGGGCAGAAGATGGGGCAGAAACGCGCTTAGGTTCCAGCTCTGCTGAAGGGATCCTGGCTCCGTGTGTCTGAGAGCAGAAGGCTCTATAGATGCCGAGACTTTGCAGAGGGAGCCTAGAATTTCACAGCAAAGGTCTGAGAAGAGCAAGCATGTGGCTATGCGGACCCTTGCTTGAACCATTCATTCATTCAGCAAATACAACCGTGCTGGGGACAGGAAATCTAGAACTACACATGAGCACAGTGCCTGCCCTCACACAACTTGTTTCTTATGTGGGGGAGGTACACAGCAAAGTTAAATCAAAATTTCCAGTAGTGACAAGTGCCCTAACAAAAGAGTGGCTCCCCTGAGGGGTGCACAGCATTAGGAATGGGGAAGGCATCCTGAGAAGGTGAGCTCTGAGCAGTCGCAAAGATGAGAAGCCTATGTGTGGGATCTGGCTTCAGGGGCTGTGTTTTCGGTGATAGGGAGGTGCAAGGGCAAGCAATTGCGCCACACAGGTGGAGGGAGGCAGTGTGGCTGGAGACGAGGGAAAAAGCTGGGGGTAGGGGTGGACGGAAGAGAAAGTCGAGGGTAGAGGATGAGGAAGAACTGTACATCAGGACAGAGTTTGGATTTATTCTAGGTTTGCATGGAACTTGTTGTGAAGAGGGACTGACTGGCTGGCTTGTAGTCATCTGAGCATCTCTGTGGAGGTCTGAGGCATGGACAGGCTGGGTCTCCCACTCCGGGGCACCCTCCTCCCCCTGCGACGTTCTGACTGCTCTCGGGCCCAGGACAATGGGCTCCTGGAGGGAGAGCCCAGTCCTTGACAAGGTCCCAGGGGATCCAGTCCTGGCAGGGCCCCAGCGTCAGGGCTGGGCCTCACACCTGGTGTGGCAACAGCACTCCTTGTGTCCTGAGAAGGCAGTGTTCCCAAGGAAGAGCTAGAACACTCGCTCACGTGCCTGCACACATGTGTTCTGACTGGTAGAAAAGAGGGAGACAGGCAGCTCTGGGTGTTCTGCTGGTTGGGCCGAGACTGCTTCTGAGGGTCAGATCTTAACACCTGCACAACAGGCGTCCCAGGGGATGAGATCCTCACTCCCCTCATTATGGCTGGAGCGCTGGGGTTTCACCAGAGTTCATGCGGACACCTCATGGCTGACGTCAGTGTCAAGAGGCAAGGCCTGGTAGGAGGTGCTGAGCATGGATCCATGCGGTTACAACGAGGCTTCAGAAAGTGCCCATCCCTTTGCCCCTCTGTCCCTTCTACATATGAGGGACACAGAGTTCAATGAACCTGCTGTTCCCTAGAACTGTGGCAAAACAAATGTCTATTATTTATGAATTACCTAGCCTAAGGTATCTTGTTATGGCCACACAAATAGACCATGAGAGAGGTCACAGGTCTGAGGAATTCATCACTGTTTTGTACCCCAGTTAAGGTGTTTTCTCAACTATATTGTGTGCTTGGCTCCATGCCACTGCAAGGCTTGGACCTGGCAGGGTTTCTGCCTTCCTCCTTCAGCCCTGAGGGGCCCCAGGTGGTGTCCATGGCTGGAGAGGACCCCACTGAGTGAGGATGGGTTCTAAAGCTTCCAACCAGTCCCTTAACAACTCTCCTGCAAGAAAGGCTTTAAAATGTTACAAAAATGAGGAGGAGGGAAGATAGGAAGTGGGTGGGAGCAATTACCTGGGGCAAGCCATGCTTCTGGGGACCATCTGATGCCATAAAGATTACAGATCACCCAGTGTAAGGCTCCTCCTGCGCACCACAATTCTTACCTAGAATGTCTGACCTTAGCACCATCCACCAGTTGCTGCCAGCCTCATCAACCTACAAACACCCAGCACCAAACTTAGGGACCAATCACCGTCCAGTGCCATTCTCATCAACAAATCAACATCCAGTGGCATTCCTACTGATCAATTCTCTTATAATGGACTTTTCACCATGGCCTCATATCTGTTCATTTCTCAAGCCATAAAAACCCTGACCCTCTGATATCGTTTTGGGAGCTCTTATTCTGGTCCACTGAAATTTGTATTTTCTCCCTGGGAAGGCTGTTCTCACTTCGGCTCAGATGAACATTGTTCGCACACTCCCTGTGCTTCAACTCCCCTGTAGGTCGACTCCCACCACTCTGGGTCAGTGCTGCTTGAACCCGGCTACACCCTGTTTCACATGGTGTGTGACCTTGATCCCTCCAGGTCCCACATTTCTTGTCTGTGACGGGGAGGCTTTGGACCCTACT